CCTTGGTTTTTTTTTGGGCGCCGGTTCTTTTCCAAGGGTGTAGCTCGAACCGGGTACTTTATTTTTATTTTTTTTAGGAGTAGTTTAGGAAGAAACTGAGTCGCTCTGAGATACTCATTGACATGGTTGATGCTGGCACATTAGGCTATGCCATACATTCTGTTTTCCCGTATATTTGGTGAATTGTGAAGCCTAAGTAAACTAAATAGCCTATTTTGTGATGCTCTTTCTCAGTTGTTTGACTCGTATGCCACATAGTGCAATATTGCTTAAATTTCTTAATTATGTGTGCTTACTTGACTTGAGAGTTGAATAGAACCGTCTTGATTGAGTCATGTGCAACGTGTGTATGAGGAATTGTGATTTTCTATGCTATCCTGTGTAGTCTAGAACTTGCCCCGTGTGTTAATTGAAGCGAAATTGTAAGTTGTGCTAATCTAGGAGATGACATAGGCATTTTCTTGCTTGATCATGGATGTGCTTGTCACATAAAAATAAAATTTTCCGTTGCTAGCCCCTTTGAGCCTATACACCTTTCATTTGGCACCCATATTACAAGCCATACCCCTATTTTGTTCTTAATTTGATATTGATTGAACCTTTACCTCCTAAGGCACTTAGGCGCTAAAAGAAGTAAGGTGAGATATTGGGGAATAGTTTTCGAGTGGAACCTTGGAAGGGCCCGTTGGTGCACTAAAGTTGAAATTAAAGGTCACTACCCGATGAACTTTATTGTATGGAGTGTGTGAAAAAGAAAAAAAAAAGAGAAAGAAAAATTTAAAGAAAAAAAATGATAGTGAAAGTATGTAGAAACATAAAACACCTCCAATTCTTATTGATTTGTGCTAGTGAAAAGTAGAGAAGTGCTTAATTGAAAAGAGTGCTATGTTGTATGTGGCAAGTGAATTGGTTAAGAAAATATGTGCTTGAATTGTGAATGTAGTGTATTAAAGTGCTTAGGAGGGTTAATCACTATTTCTAAATGTATCATACCCGTCCCTTGGCCTACATTACAACCCTAAAAGTCCTAATTGATCCTAGATTTGGCTAGCTTAAATTAGTAGAGATATACACTACGGGCAAGCTTATGGTATGATCACGGGATGCATATGAACTCTTTGTGAGAGTGAGCGAATTTTGTTCAAATTGTGAGATGTCCTTAATCTATATTCAAAAGTATATTTGAATGTGTGGACTATCTATATTCACTCTTTTGTTTGTTGGTAAGAGTACATGATCTCATGAATGATTGATGATGTTGTAAACTTTCTTGTTGGGTAAGTGCATGAGTTGAGGGTGCTTAGTGGTTGCAAGTCGGCTCTTGAGGTTGGGTGGTGACAAATAGGTTGTCGGAATTGATTGAATTGAAGGGTTATACTTGGGCTTGCTTAAACGGGAAGAATGTGAATTTTTGTGTGTTCATGCTTGTGTGCCGATATTGATCGTAGTCAAGGGTATAGTGTGGTTAAAAGTTAAGGTGCTCCTCTATGATTGAACCTTGTACATAGTTGGGGGTCTATTAGATAGTCCCATTGCTCAAGGACGAGCAAGAGTCTAAGTGTGGGGTGTTGATGTTTAGCTTAAAGTATATATATTTCTATGTATATCGCCTCATATTTTACTTTTGTTTCGTGAATTTGGGATGTTAAATGTGTTGATTTATGTTAATTTGATGTGTTTTTATGTGTAGAAATTATTCGGGAGCAATTGGGGGCGAAACGCGCAAGATTTGAGCCAAAACGGACGAAACCGGGAAACTTTCGAATTTGGGCGCCACCAGGTGGCGCCCAGCCCTACCTGTGGCGCCAAAAATAGTAGGTAAAAATATTGGGGCGCCGTGGAGGGCGCCTGGCGCCGGGCTGGGCGCCGGTGACGCGGATTTTGTCCTATTTTGCCCGGGACACGGTTTATTCGGCCCTAGACCTATCCAACACGTATAAAAGCAAGACTAAACATATTTTTTGAGAGGAGGACGCCACTTTAGAGATATCTAACAGACTTTGAAGGAGAATTCACGTGGGGGAACACACACCACGCTTGGAGGAGGCTTCCTTTAATTTCATAGTTTATTAGTTCTAGAGTTTTGGGTGCTACATGAACGTTGTAGTTTGAAGCTTGAATTGTTCTTATTATTTTATCATATTGGTTTATTTATTCAATCTTGCGCTTAATTATTTGATTGCTTGATCACCAATTGAATACTATCTACGAATCTAGGATTGAACTCGGGAGAGGGAATTCTAGATTGCATATAAGATTGAGTAGAGCAAGATCTTAACTCTTAGGGGGAGCGGATTTGCGGTTAGGATAGGAATATACCTAATCGCCTTGCTTGGTTATTATACGGGAATTATAAATGCGTTCTTGTTAATCCTAATTTCATAGGAATATAGGCGTTAGGTTAGCTTGAATAGGCGAGTTGTACTTCGGGAGAAGGCTACGAGCAATATTAACCCTGTCAACCAATAAACCAGATAAATTAATTAGACGATTTAGGTGGAAAACTCAACGGGGTTGTTAGCCAACCCATAGCTCTAGAATATTCACTCACATTGAATTTCGGCTTTAAGTTTGTCGTTGTTTTCTTTAATCTCTTAATTTTATACTCTAGATTAATTTTAGTTAAATATTCATACTTTAGAATTCGCTTGAATAGATTAATTGTTTTGGTTTAATTTAGTTGATAGTTAATCACAAGTCCATGTGGATATGATATCTGGACTTACAATCCTATATTACTTGTCGACCACGTAAATTTGCGTGTGCGTTTGGGAGCAACATATGTATAAAAAAATTATACTGATATACTATTACTTAAATTAACTTGCATGCCATATAAGATACTACATGATAAGGAGTTAAGTGTGTATCTAGGTCAAGGAAAATGGAAGGGGAATGACATGGATTAAGATTAATGATAGATCTCAACAAAAAAGTTTGTTGTGTCTTCACGAAACTTTTTGGAAATATGATGATTTTCTTTAGATTTCACTTTTGGGTCTAGGAGAAAGAATAAAAAGAAAATATAATGAAAGAATCCATAATGCAGTGTCAAACGTTGTACAAATATATACCTCAAAAAAGGAAGATTATATCCCCAAATGAAACTATACTACCTCGGTAAAATTTAACTCTTAGGCTAATACATGTGCGCCACGTTAAAGATATTACGACGTGACAGTTCAGGAGAAGCAACAAGGGAAAATCGAAAAAAGATATCACCTGTCTAAATGCTTTGTAGAATACCAACACTTAGAAATTTTCTTTTGTGTAATTTAACATGTTAGAAATTTACTGTCTCTTCTATAAATTTTTATAGCCCGTTTGGCCAAACTGCAAAAATCAGCTTATTTTGAGAAGTGCTTTTTATCAAAAGTGTTTTTCTCAAAAATACTTTTGGTGAGAAGCAGTTTGTGTTTGGCAAATGAATTTCAAAAGTACTTCTGAGCAGCAATTAGTGTTTGGCCAAGCTTTAAAAAACTGTTTTTAAGTGTATTTTTCTCAAAAGTGCTTTTCAAAAAAATGCTTTTGGAAAGAAGCTACTTTTTTCTGCTTCCCCAAAACTGCTTCTGCTTCTCCTCAAAAGCACTTTTTTTCCTTTCAAAAGCTTGGCCAAACACCTTAATTTTAGAAAAAAAATACTCTTGACCAAAAAAAAAAGTACTTCTGCCTCAAAAGAAGCTTGGCCAAACAGGCTATTAGTGTGGTCCATATATAAAGGAATAAATTATTTATCTTGTCTCCCAAATGAAATAATATCTCAGATAATATTGTGTAGTAATGCATATATGGTAGTTTCTTTGGTGGAAAGAAACAATTTTTATTAGGAGTCCCTAGGGCAATTATAATTTATGGAGGAGTCCTTATGGCTAACGTATCTGCCTAAGAGTCCCTAGCCTACTTATAAATATGCCTGTGTCTCCATCAGTCTGGCATCCTACGATAGGCACAGGCTAGAAGACTCTCTAGGTTTTCTCCTAAAGGTTTCAAAGGCGATTCCCTATAACGCTTGAACAACAATGGCTGAAGATACGTTCCTTGTTTAATTTCCGCTGCGGTGGCTCTGTGTATATGTTTAAATTCAACATTTGGTATCAGAACCTGCCTTTTAGCTGTGTTGTTCAGTATTTGTTAATGGTAATTATGAATATAATTTATCATGTTTGGGTAACAATGAATTCATAAGATGGAATCGAATTTTAGTCGGCAGATTACTCTTTAGTTTTTGGCTTCCGAGTGAGTTGTTATTTACTGCTAAATCTATGAGCTTTATGCATCTCCGTTGACATACTTTGATTTCACCTTTTAAGAACAAGAGAGAAATCTTTGTTATTCTGATGCTTCAAAATAGATCTAGTCTTCTAGATAATTTAGTTTTGGTAAAAGCTTTTGTGAGTTTGTAGGCGAATTTATATGTTTGCATTTATCAGTTGTTCTCATATCTATTGTTTAGCATTTATTGATAATAATTCGTCTGTCTTTTGTGGAAGGGTTGTATGCGAACAATAATACTGATGATGCTAAATACATATTATGTGAAAACGCCTATTGTTTTTTAGAATGGAAAAAAACTGTTTGGTATATACAGAAACATGTTTTAGAAAAGAATTGCTTCATTCTATAAGATTCTTATAATATGTTAATTATAAGAATGAACCTTTACGGTAATATAGCATTCTGCTTATATTCAGAGCCAGTCAACAATACGTCCTTTGGAGATATCTGTAGGTGAAAGGTGTGCCGGTGGCTTACATTAGGGCGATAAAGGATATGTATGCGGGAGCTATGACTTGGGTTAGGACTGCGGGAGGTGACTCAGACCCTTTCCCGGTGGTTATGGGATTACACCAAGGATCGGCGTTCAGCCCGTTCTTATTTGCCCTGGAGATGGACGCACTGACACACCATATCCAAGGAGAGGTGCCATGGTGTATGTTGTTCGCTGATGACATAGTTCTGATTGATGAGACGCGAGGCAGCGTTAATGGGAGACTAGAGTTATGGAGGCAGGTCCTGAGTCTAAAGGTTTCAAGTTGAGTAGGACTAAGACAGAATATGTGGAATGTAAGTTCAGCGACGTGACGGGGGAAGCGGATGTGGAAGTCAGGCTTGACTCACACGTCATCCCCAAGAGAGAAAGTTTTAAGTACTTAGGGTCAATTATCCAGGGAGAAGGGGAGATCGACGGGGATGTTACGCACCGTATTGGGGTGGGGTGGATGAAATGGAGGTTAGCGTCTGGAGTCCTGTGTGACAAAAATATGCCACCGAAACTCAAAGGTAAGTTCTATAAAGTGGTGGTTAGACCGGCCATGTTGTATGGGGCTGAGTGTTGGTCAGTCAAGAATTCACATATCCAGAAGATAAAAGTAGCAGAAATAAGGATGTTGAGATGGATGTGTAGGCACACTAGGCTGGATAAGATTAGGAATGAAGATATTCGGGAGAGGGTGGGCGTGGCTCCGGTGGACAAAAAGATGCGGAAAGCACGGCTTAGATGGTTCGTACACGTGCAGAGGAGAAGTCTAGATGCCCCGGTTAGGAGGTGGGAGCGGTTGGCTTTGGCAGGTACGAGAAGAGGTAGAGGGCGGCCTAAGAAGTATTGGTTTGAGGTGATCAGACGGGACATGGCGCGGCTTCAGATTTCCGAGGACATGGCTCTTGATAGGAAGGTGTGGAGGTCGAGCATTAGGGTTGTAGGTTAACAGGTAGTCGAGCGATTTTCCTCATTGTCCTGGTTTCCCTCTTTTTACCAACGAGTATGATAGTATTTTGTCTAGCTCTGCTAGCGATTTATGTTGTGTTTCACACTTTTGCATAATATTTGCGTTACTGCTTTTCCATTTATTCTCTCACGTTGCTGATAATATTTTTCGGATTTTGTTGTCATAGATCTATTGTCTCTGAGCCGGGGGTCTCCCGGAAATATCCTCTCTACTCCCTCTAGGGTAGGGGTAAGGTATGTGTATACTGTACCTTCCCCACACCCCACTGGTGAAATTTTACTGGGTTGTTGTTGTTGTTGTTGTTGTTGTTGTTGTTGTTGATTATCAAGGTTAATTACTCTGAGATGTCAATTTTAGGTTTTCTTTTACGTAAGGTATTTAGGAGTGGCCACATCATCCTGAATACTTGATGTTATTTAATCACATAAAAGTTTCAGTGATAAAAATTATAATGACATCTATTTAGTCCAGTTATCTCATTATAATGGTAACCCGGCCCTACAGGGAGGTAACTATTTTGGTGAGATTAAATGGAATGAAATAGTAAACTTTTCAGTTTAAAATTGTCTTATGCCCACAGGTACAGATTAATTTTATGTGTTTTGGTTTACTAGTCTAATAAAGTAAAGTAAATTCTATGCAATGATTGCAACCTCTGCCCACATGAGGGTCCAGAATTTACTTAAAATCGGTATTTTACATGATTCACCTTTGATGGATTGTACTTCATAGCTTAAGTATGTTTATCCTTGTTTTGCAGTCTTTACAGCTTTTTCTACCGCTATTTTTAATGAGAATGCTCGCATTCCAATGCTTTCTGGTGACAATTATGCTGAATGGAAGGAGAAAGTCCTTCTCACTTTAGGGTTGTCGGATTTGGATCTGGCACTACGTGGGGTAGAACCCCTATTCCCACGGAATCAAGTCCGCCAGCGGCTAAAGCTATTTATGAGCGATAGGAGCGATCCAATCACTTAAGTTTAATGCTCATAAAAGCTCACATAAGCCAGAGCATTAGAGGCTCTATCTCTAATAGCGATAAGTTCAAAGCTTACATGAAGGTAATTGGTGAACAATTTGTAAGTTCTAACAAGGCATTAGCCAGCACCCTTATGAAGAGGCTCTCGAGTATGACTTTTGATAGAAGTCGTACAATGCGTGAGCATATTATGGAGATGAGAGACATTGCTACTAAACACAAGTCCCTTGAGGTTGATATGTTCAAACCATTTTTTATGGATTTCATTCTCAAATCACTTCCTGCGGAATATGGTCCATTTAAGATTTCTTACAACACAAATAAGGATAAATAGTCAATCAATGAACTTTTGACCATGTGTGTTCAAGAAGAAGAGAGGTTGAAGCATGAGACACCTGAAAGTATTAATATAGTGACTCATGGTAAGAGAAATACAAAGAAGGGCAAAAGTGTTCCCATGAAAAAGAAAAACACCTTTGACAAAGATGTTTGTCGTTTCTGTAAGAAGAAGGGATACTAGAAGAAGGATTGCCTGAGATACAAGAAATGGATTGAGAAGAAAGGTAAATTTACCTTTGTATGTTATGAATCTAATTTACTGAAGTTTCTGATAATACATGGTGAATTGATTATGGTGCTACAATTCATATTGCCAAGATCACATGGGGCTTTCTAACTCAGAGGAAGCCGATAGCAAGTGAACAATACGTCTATTCTGGCAATAGGACATGTTCAAATGTGGAAGGCATGGGAACTTATAGGTTCATTTTGAAGGATGGTTTCACTTAGATTTGAAAAATACTTTTTATGTTCCAGAATATTCTAGAAATTTAATTTCTCTTTCAAGACTATCAATTAGTGGATATGATTTGAATTTTCATTATCCTTCTGTGAATCTTGTGAAAGAAAATAAAGTTATTGGTTTTAAAAATTTGAATGGAAATTTATATAAACTTGAGCTAGACCCCACATTTGAATGCAATGTTTTAACTTCGCATGACAAAGAAATTGGCACTAAGCGATGTATTATCAATGAGAACTCATCAAGTCTTTGGCACAAGAGATTGAGACACATCTCTATTGATAGAGTCAAAAGGTTGGTTAGTGATGGAGTTCTAAAAGCTCTTGATTTCTCTGGCTTTGGGACTTGTGTGGAATGCATAAAAGGTAAGCAGACCGATAAATTAACTAAAGGTGCCAAAAGGAGTTCTTAAAAGATCATACATACAGACATATATGGACCTTTTCCTACTCCTTGCTTGAATGGTGAGAGATATTTTATCTCATTTATTGATGACTATTCAAGATATATGTATCTCTATTTTATGTTTAATAAATCAGAAGCACTTGATGCTTTTAAAGTTTACAAAACAGAAGTAGAGAAACAAACTAGTGCTCAGATCAAAATTGTAAGATCTGATAGGGTGGAGAATATTATGGTAGGTACACAGATAAGGGTCAAGTTAAGGGTCCATTTGCTGAGTTCCTTGAAAGTGAAGGTATAATTGCCCAATATTACCATGCCAGGAACACCAAAACAAAATGGTGTGGCAGAAAGAAGGAATCGGACATTAATAGACATGGTAAGAATCGTGATTAGCAGAACAAGTTTACCTTTATCCTTATGGAGTGAAGCCTTAAAAACTTATGTGTATATTTTAAATAGGGTTCCATCTAAGGCTGTCTCCAAGACACCTTTTGAGCTATGGAAAGGATGGAAATCCAGTTTAAATCGTTTACACGTTTGGGGATGTCCAACTGAAGTGAGAGTCTATAACCCACAACTAAAAAAATTGGATGAAAGAACAATAAGTAGTTATTTTATAGGCTATGCGGTTAACTCTAAGAGATTTAGGTTTTATTGTGCTTCTCATTCTCCTAAAAATTTTGAGGTTAGAAATGCTAAATTTCTTGAGGAACATGAAGAAAATGGAGTGGTTTGACTCAAAAGGTGAAATTTGAAGAAATACGAGAACCACCTGTGGTACCATTATTTATTGGAAACTTGAATGTTGCTCAGAAAAATTCTCATGAATTATCTAAACAACAAGTTCAAGAGCCACCACCACTTGAGGGGCCACATGAAGATCAACCCGCTTTACCTGAACCCACTAAAGAAGTGTTTGAACCAGTGAGAGTGAGCAAATCCTCAAGAGTTCGAAAACCAGCAATTTCTAGTGACTATGTTATATATCTCCAAGAGTCTGATTATGATATTGGACTAAAATATGATTCATGCTCGTTTTCACATGCCATGAGTGGAGAAAGCTCCACACTTTGGTATAATGCTTTGAAAGAAGAGTTAGAATCTATGGCTAAAAATAAAGTCTGGGATCCCGTCGAATTACCACAGGGATCCTCTACTACAGGTTCCAAGTGGGTCTTTAAAACAAAAAGAGACTCATCTGGTAATATCGAACGATATAAAGCCAGATTTATATCCAAGTGTTTTACTGAAAGGGAAGGCATTGATTACCATGAAACCTTCTCTCCAGTATCAAAGAAGGATTCATTGAGAATAATCATGGCATTAGTAGCTACTTTTGATTTACAGTTACATCAAATGGATGTGAAAACAAATTTCCAGAATGGAGATCTTGAAGAGGAGGTATACATTCGTCAACCTGAAGGATTTTGTGATAAGGACAAAAGTCACTTGTTTGCAAGTTGAATAAATTCATTTATGGGCTAAAGCAGGCTTCCCGCCAATGGTATATTAAATTTCATAATGTTGTTTCTTCATTTGAATTTAAGGAGAACATCATTGACCAGTGTATATACCTTAAGATAAGTAGGAGCAAATATAGTTTTCTAGTCTTATATGTGAATGACATTTTGTGTGACACCTTAGGCGAATCCCACATCGACAAAATATAGAAGGGATGATGGGTATATAAGTAGATAGGCCTTAGACTCTAGTGACACGTTTTAAATCTGTGAGGGCCTAGGCCTAGAGCGGACAATGACACTAGCAGGCAGGGCTCTTACATATGGTACCAGAGCCACTCCGCGTGCAACCTTGAACGATGGTGGGGCAAACCTCAGCGAGGACGCAGAGTACCTAAGGGGGGTGTATGTGACACCCTAGGCGAATCTCACATCGACAAAACATGAGAGAGATGTTGGGTATATAAGTAGACATGACTTAGACTCTAGTGACGCGTTTTAAACCTGTGAGGACCTAGGCCCAGAGCATACAGTATCACTAGTGGGCTAGGCTGTTACATTTTACTTGCAAGTAGTGATTTGGGATTCTTTCACAAGACTAAATAGTTCCTTATCCAGAATTTTGAGATGAACGATATGGGTGAAGCCTCTTATATCATTGGCATAGAGATTCACAGAGACATATCCCAAAGATTACTTGGACTATCTCAAAAGGAGTACATTGAAAGAATTCAGGAAAGATTCGGGATGAAGAGTTGTTCACCTATAGCAGCACCCGTCATTAAAGGTGATAAATTTTCATTGAATGGATGTCCACAAAATGCACTGGAAAAGGAGCAAATGAAAGACATTCCCTGTGCTTCGCTTGTTGGGAGCTTTATAT